GGAAATTTTTTTCCATGTTAGCCACGTCTTCTAACTTCTCGCCATTTCTTTTTAGTTGATTGGAAATGGTAATTACTCTAGAAAAGTAATCGGAGACCAACTCGCCTTCTTTCATATGCAAAACATCAAATTGACTTCTTAAAGTTTGAAGTCGTACCTTTTTAACCTTCTCTTCTCCCTTATATGAAACCTCGAGCTTCTTCCATGCTAGTTTGGCCGAAGTAGCACTTGAGATCTTCTCAAAACCATCTTCATCTAAAGCTTGATAGATGAGGAAGAGAGCCTTCTTGTCTCTCTTTCGCAAGTCTCGTAAGCTATCCTTTTGTGTTGTGGATAGAACAGACTCATCACTTGGCTCATCGTAGCCTTTCTCAACAACCTCCCAAACGTCATGCGCTCCAAGGAGTGCCTTCATCTTGATACTCCAATTGTCGTAGATGCTTTCCTTAAGCATCGAGACTTGGAACGAAACCATGCCACCGTTTGTCATTTCTCTGTAACGGAACCTGGCTCTGATACCACTTTGTTGGAATGAAGAAACTTTTAGGAAATGACAAAGGCTAAAAACACAACTTATGGAAGAAGCTTCACTCTTATTTATCACCTTTACTTGGCTTGATACAAACTCAAAGACTCCACCCCTATTTATACTAGTGACACCTCCTAAATTAATGGCTAAGATTGTGCCACCACAATTACAATCCAATGGTTACAAATAATTCCACACCTACCACACAATAATTCAACACCTACCACACCTACCACACCTACTACACAATAATTTCATACCTACCACATATTCTAGAATAAGCTTATAGAAATTAAGCTTTATTTAAACAACTAAAACCAAGTTTATATTTCAACAGAACTTTCCTCTAGAAGAAGACGTCGAGACGAAAATCCTTCTCGGGGTGCTACCGCGGAAATGTATTGCTTGATGCGGTGGGGGGAGAGCGGCACAGGTGGAAATACCTAAGAAGCGGGCAGCGGGTTAGACCCCGCGGCCGGCTTTCTTAAGAAGCTTTTTTACATCGCTGCCCCTCTCTTGCCTAACCTCTGCAAAAATTTCCTTCGAATTATTTTCTCTTCTTTGTCGACAGTGCCCCTCCCTGGCCTTCTGCCTCCTCTTCCGCCTCTTCTATGGCTGCCCGGATACTCTTCCCCTCTTTCTCCTCTTCTGTTCATGGCTGGTATGCTTTGCTTCTCTTCTCCTTTCTTCTGTTCGCGCCTGGTTTAGTGGCTTTTGTATGTAGTAATGCTATTGGTGGCAAAATCTTTGGTTTGCCAATTCGTAAAAAAATAAAGGATTTTCAGTGGGTTGCTATTGATAGCTCCTTAAATTTCTCTCTTTCTGTATCCACTAATTTAACAACTTCACACGGTTGAAGTATTATCTGAAAGCATACCTTTCATAAATATAGGATTTGCAATTTCAGCTCTCCGTCTGTGATTGTGCGATGATTAAATTTTACTTCTATGAATTCCATGAACCTTTGTTGCATCTCCCATGCATGATTGGATGAAGAAGGGTGGTTGATTTGTAAATAGAAAGTTCCAAGTGGATATAAACTTGCAACAGAAAGGGTTTCCGTTATTCAAAAACCATTTTTATTCATGTTATTGTTTCCATGATTTTATGGTTTTTGGCTTTGCATTGGTTCGAACAATTTCTTATTTGAAGCATGCATTACGTTGGATTGTTTTAATTATTCAAAAATTTGGTTATAGCTTCATGTCGAGCAAAAAATGTGAGGAATTTTCAGAACAGCTTTCATTGTTGCTCTGGTTATAATGGTAATTACATTTTCGGTACTCACTATTAAGTGAGTTGCGTATCTGAGCTTCTTTTATATTTTAAAATAAATTTTTGCTTCTACACTATCAAACATGAGGTTGTCATAATTCTGTTTTAATAAACTTTACTATGAAGGGGCAGAATGGTCATTTTTCGAGAAACAGATACCCCACAGCAGTTTTCACACAGCTGCAACAAACAGATGGTCAGCTTCCCCGCAGCAGCTTCCTTGGGCAGCGCAACTACAGCTGAAAAGCTGAGAAGCTGCAGGTGCACCAAACAAACCCCTAGTTGAATATTTTTCATTCTTACTTCAGTTTTTTGCCAACTTTGCGGGGGGATAAGTTGGCTAGTTAATTTGAATATCAACTATGTTAATTTTTGAATTTATTTATCCAAACTAGTTAAATAATAGAAAACCCTTCCGCATCCCATTCGAACTCTTAAAATCCCCGATTGAGAAAAAAATGCATTTACATACATTTGAATATCATTTAACTTTTATGTATTTACATCTCTAATATCTAAATTCAAATTATTATAACAAGCAAAATTATTCACATCCCATAAAAATATTATTATTATTAACTCAAAAAAACCGAAACATGCCTTTTGAAGCATAGTTAGAGTGATATAGATGAAAAAATTGAGGTTTATATGTTAGATACGTAAATACATAGAATTTGTATTGTATGTATTCAAATCTTGCAAAAAAAAAAAAAAAAAAAGAAGAACCAAAATTTAACACCTAAAAATGTAATCATAAACTCGTAATAAAATAATTCATCAAACAATTTGCTTAGAAACAACTTAATATAACAGATAAAAAGAATAGACATAGTTGACCGAAGATTGAAGCTACAACAATATTACTTATGCAAGTGCACAAAACAAATCGGCTAATCTACCAGAAAAACACCGATTAACTAGCAGCTAGCAATTATTGTAACAATCGCAATAGAAGGTGTGGTCGTTGCAATCCCCACTATTGTAGCCCGATCTAACACAGAGATCGTTGCATTCAGCTTTTGGAAGGTCCATATTCAAGCAACTTTCAACCGCTAGCACAGGACAAAGCTTCCCAGTTTCCACTACCGGTAGCATCTCGCCTGCACATTCATACACAATCATATCCTTGCATGCAGATGATAAGAGATTAAGTGAAATAAAATGAAAAAATTTACCGGAAGAAGAGAGGAGAAAAACGAGGAAAATACACCAAAGGAATTCCTTCTTTAGCTCAATTCGCTCGGACTCCTGATACTTATTCTATATTTGATCATAGAGTTTATATATATATATATATGTATGTATATACATAGATGGAAGGAAGAGAAGATGAAACACTAAACGGAGGTTAAGGCTGCCAGTTGAAGGATAAAATATTGCCGCCCCATTCGGACCTACAACGGGTGGAGTACGGGTTGGCAGCTGATCGCCTCATTTGTAGAATTTCAAAGAAACAGAAGAGCGCCGGCAATCAAATGGCTTTTTGTTTATAACCATTTCTTGGATTGTACGAGTAATTTATGCTTAATAATTGTTAAACTAGTATTAAATTAAAATAACTTTTAAATTAAATATTAAACATCACAAATTATAACTATCATCCTCCTCATGCCTCTTCGTCTGCACTAGAAGTCCTTTGGGACACCACGTCACAACTCCCTAGTAATATTCTATCTTTTCTCTTTTTCTGACTTTTTTTTTTCCTCAGAAAACTTTCTTTCATTAAAATTTTATGTAACAATTAGATCAACTCAAATCGAGTTTGTTATGCAAAAATAATGTGAAAACATAGAAATTCATATAATAATAAGCAAACAAAAGATTTAGGTGGCTCGGGGTTAAATTGATTCACCTACGTCTACATGGAGGGTGTTTCCACTAACACAAGATGGGGAGAAAGAAAACACGCATGGAGTACAACTTCCACACACCTCAAACCATGCAGCTCTCATAAGTCATTAAGTCACTTTTATAGAAGAGGACTAGGAAACACAAGTAAATAAAAGCAAAAGGCAAAAATACCCCTATTTACAATAAAAATAAATAATGTAGTAAATACAACAATCACCACCCCATCTCTTATTTCCAAATAAGTGAGAGAAAACCAAAGGAGTTCCAAGCTCCAAATAAGTTGCACCAAGATGGTTGCCTACCTACCCCCCTCCCAAAGAGATCAAGCCTCACGTAGTTCTACACAATACCCAACAGGCTATCAGTCCTGAATTCGGATGTTCATCAAACTCCTGCAATATGTGAACTTGTGGTATGGTAGTACCTTCATGAGCATGTTCATTGTATTCTCCTTCATGTCTATCTTCTTCATCAAAACCTTGTCTTCTTCAATAAAGCCCCGAACAAAGAGATGTCTCACATCAATGTATTTGATATGACCTTAATGAACTAGATTTGTAGCCATTAATATCTAACTTTGATTGCCATAAAATACCTTCAGAGACCCTTGATCAACTCTCAAGTCATCCAGTAGGCCCTGCACTCATATTGAATCCTTCATCACCTCTGTGACTGTCATACACTCTGCCTTCTTAGTATACAAAGCAACAGTAGATCGAAGCACCGACATCCAACAGACTCCTTTCAATGTGAATAAATAGCTAGTAGTAGATTTTTACCAATTCATATCACCTGCAAAGTCTGTCAGTGTAGCTTACACACAAATCTACATAGGATGATTTCCTTTAAACATCAATTCAACATCAATTGTACCTTTTATATACCTTAGAATACTCTTCACAGCCTCACAATGATCGTTCATGGATCATGCATGAACCTGCTCACAACACCAACTGGTTGTGCAATGTCTGGTATAGTAAAAACTATGACATACATCAGATCGCCAACTGTAATAACAAAAGGAGCCGATCACATATCTTTTATCTCTCATTCATCTTCAGGAAATTGATCTGAACTCAACTGAAAGTGAGATGCAATGAGTAGACTCGCCATGCCCAAGTCATCAAACCCAAATTTCTTCAACACCTTCCAACCACAAGCGTTTTGCGAGAGCTAAACCTTTTTAGCTATCTTGTCCATTAGAATCTATATGTCATGAATTTTGTGAGCTTCACCTAACTCCTTCCATTTTGAAATTTTTGGACAGTTGATTCTTCATCTTATCAAACCCAATCTGGCAGCATATAAAAAAAATTAAATGAACTCACTGTTGACCAACCTTTGAAATATGCAGAATGATCCTATTGGCTACTTGTGCAGTTATTTCTCCATGTGAACTGATCAAATTTTTTATATCTTCTACCCATACAAGTACTTGCCCAAGTTTGTAAACTAAGTTTTTTTATGTTTCATATCAAGGCGACTGCAACGTATAGTTCTCCTCTTGCAATTCCTTGTGTTGTGAATTTTGAAACTGGTCCACTGTTCAAATTATCATTTTCTCATGTTTGGCAGCAAATTAGATTTGATACTTAAAATTAATTGCTAAATAAATTGCACTTAATCCCTTCTATGAATTGTTGTAGAAGAGAAGAAGAAATAATTAATGGATTTCATTAATTATTTGATTAATTCCTTAATGGGTTTAATGGTATGATGAAATTAATAAATGGCATGCTAGCTCCTCTTGTTAGCTCTCTCGAAATTTTGTTTCCTAGGCTCCCTCTTCGGCATTAGTAGCTTTCCAGAGACTTCTTTTGGTGTGCTTCGGATTGAAGCTCTCGGGTAGAGCAAGAGAGAAGGAGAGGA